GGAATTTACGAAATTGAATGTAAGGACTGCGATGCAAAATATTATGGACAGAAAGAAGATCTATCGAAGTAAGATATAAGGAACACATAGCACACTTAAAATATGGAAGACCTGAAAAATCAGCAATCGCAAGTAAACACAATAATATTGAACTATACCAAATAGCATACTATATAGCTTGTTGGAATAATATTGTTAGGTTTAGTGATTACTACATAAGGACACATTGCAAAAATAAATTTAGATAGGCAATATTGTGAAATTAATTTTATATAGCTGAAATGTGTTTTATATACAGTTAAACATATATTGTAAAATAATAGATAAGGCAAAATTGTAAAATTAATCAAGGGTGGTATACCTGTATGGGTGGTACACCTGTAGGGTTCACCTGTATAGCATAAATAGCGTTAGCTTCGCGTTAGTTTCTAGTTCAATCTTACTCTTGAAGACGATCACTTGGCGATCGAAACACGTGTCGAGGTGTTAAAAATAACGATTTGGTGTTGGGAAATAACTCCAGTAATAGTCATAACACTCAATGATTGTAGAGACTTTGTAGTCCTCTGCAACGTATCTCTGTCTGCCCAAAGGTATATTAGTGAGGCATGGGATGTCCAGATATGTCAGAGAGCAGAAACAAGAGGGCAAAATTTCATTTCAATGCACGATAGGTCTCGTTCCTGTGCTGCAGGGATCGAGCGTCAGTGCCTACGAGCCAACAATATCACCACTTTGAGGTGGCCTGCTTGCAGCCCGGATCTGAATCCCATCGAGCATGTCTGGGATCAACTGGAAAAAAGCAACAACTCAAGTCATCAGAATAAACTCATCACTGTGAATGAGCTAGAAATCGCTCTTCGAAAAGTGTGGGAGCGTTTGCCTTAAGAAAACCTCAGGCGGCCCATAAGAACCATGCCCCGGCAGCTGTGATTTCCGTCTGAGAAGGAAACACAAGATACTGAGTTATTGTAACTCAGAAGCAACTTTTTGTTAACTTTTTTTTCGAAAATTTAAGGGTTTTCATTTTGATTTTGGTAGTTCTTTGATTTTCTCTCACATATACACAATTCACAACAAAATATTATAACAGTTGAACATATATTGTGAAATAATAGATAAGGCAAAATTGTAAAATCAATTTAGGGTGGTATACCTGTATGGGTGGTACACCTGTAGGGTTCACCTATATAGCATAAATAGCGTTAGCTTCGCGTTAGTTTCTAGTTCAATCTTTCTCTTGAAGACGATCACTTGGTGATCGAAACACGTGTCGAGGTGTTAAAAATAACGATTTGGTGTTGGGAAATAACTCCAGTAATAGTCATAACACTCAATGATTGTAATAACCTTGTAGTCCTCTGCAACGGATCTCTGTCTGCCCAAAGGTATATTAGTGAGGCATGGGATGTCCAGATACGTGAGAGAGCAGAAACAAGAGGGCACAATTTCATTTCAATGCACGATAGGGCTCGTTCTTGTGCTGCATGGATCGTGCGTCAGTGCCTACGAGCCAACAATATCACAACTTTGAGGTGGCCTGCTTGCAGCCTGGATCTGAATCCCATTGAACATGTCTGGGATTAACTGGAAAACAGTAACTCAAGCCGTCATCACTTTGAATGAGCTGGAAATTGCTCTCCGAAAAGTGTGGAAGCCTTAAGAAAACCTCAGGTGGCTCATAATAACCATGCCCCGACGAATCTGAGCTGTGATTTCCGCCTGAGAAGGAAACACAAGATACTGAGTTATTACAACTCAGAAACAACTTTTTGTTAACTTTTTTTTTCCGAAAATTGAAGGGTTTTCATTTTGATTTTGGTAGTTCTTTGATTTTCTCACATATACACAATACACAACAAAATATTATTCAATAATTTAACATGGATTTGGTAGTCATAACATATAATAAGTTTCCTCACTCAAGAAGTTATCCTTCAATTGTTTTAAGGAGTGTATATTTATTATCCTTTATACTCTGCCTAACGAATTGTCTCAGGCAACTCCTTCATGAATCCCTATTTCAAGTTCAGCGTATAAACGCGACAAAGACTGCAAATGTAGATTCAGTACGTAGTTGTCTGAAAATGATTAAGCTTTGTCAAATGTTCCACCTTCAGAATAGGTGATGGATGAATACCGTTAAAGCAACTTCTTATCTGCCTCCGATGTTTATTCCTTGTCTCCTTCGTACCCTTCTCGACGGCCTGAAATAGCAACAACCCAATTACTAGACATTCTCCACTGTCTACTCAATCAACTCAGGATTTACCCACGGAGGCTCGGCAAAACACTTTCCCAGCTGTAACAATGTGTTGATAAGCTGACAATGTATTGGGAAATTGGCTCCCAATTTGGCTCATTTTCCAATTCTCGGCGGTCGATTTGTCACTAATTGAGGTTTGGTTCTCTCGAGATGTTGATCAGCTTTTTTTGTGGAATGCGACTACAATTCAATTAAGTGATTGAGTGATAAGTCATTATCTATTTTATTTATATTTGAACAGTTTCTACAAAAATGAAGATGTTATCCCAAATTGTCTTTCTGTGTTCGATAATTGTAGGGGAGAGTGGGGTAATGACAGTCAAGGGGTAATCGTGGTCGGTATAATATCTCGGTAACGACGGTAACGCAGAACGCTCTGATCGGTGCTGCCTGCTTGCGGCACGATCTCGAACTACTACTCGAACGCGCGCCATCTTGGCAGTCGTCGTTTGGACGTTGAGTGAGTTGGAGTGTTTTTATGTTGCGCCTCATTAGAAAACCTGTCGTTTAAAGTGCTGTTTTCACACGTTTCACTGTTCCCGCTGATAAACCAATGGTCACACAGTATCAAGGTAAGCCCCATTACTATAACCATTGCTGTTTATGAAGGTATTATAACAGGTTGTTGTTGATTTTTTCTTGTGAAATAAAACCATGCGTTCGGGGTAATGGTAGTCATACTGTTTGGGGTAATGGCAGTCATTATGTCAACTGACCATCATTACCCCATTCGTTATCAATTTTTGTTTTGTATGTTTCAGATGGCGAGGAAGTATATTAGAAAAACTGAAAAAGCTAAGTGGACAGCAGAAGACCTTAAAAAAGCTAAACAGGCTGTTGATAATGGCTTATCAATGAGAAAGGCCGCGGAAAATTTTGGAATACCCTTTAGCACATTACAAGTCCGATTAAAGAGCGGTACTGATTCTGACCCACGCTTAGGCAGGAAATGTGACTTTCCTCNTCATGATTATATCATTGAAATACCCAATATTTCTCATTATATAGTCAGTAAATTGTCAATGACACCTCCGACTGCCATTACCCCAGGGTCGGGGTAATACCAGTCAAAGCTGATATTTTTTGTTTTTGGTGTGAACATAAAAAAGTTAAGTTATAATTACATTTCAAGTCCTTGGTTACTTAGGAGATGTTATAAGTATACTGTTAAGATTGCTAACATTTCAAAAGAGTGAAACAATCATTTTTTATGATTTTTCCCCCTTAGGTGACTACCATTACCCCAGTCTCCCCTACTGGTTGTTTCAAAAGTTTAAATGAGTCTTGTACAAACTGTAATGTCTCAGTTCAAACTCATTTGATTTAATCGATATAAGACACATTCCAATCAGTATACTTTTGCCAGCGATAAAGTCGACGAAGGCCGTTTCTGCTTTGTCCTAACAGGCGTAGGGTCTACCGGTGAGAAAGTTATCGAAGTGCTTGAAAATATGGTGGTCGGTTGGTGAGAGGTCTTGGGAGTATACGTTTCAAACCATCAAAAACCACATGGGAGCCCGTTCTTCCGCCATCCTACGTACCGTTTGTAATGGGTCAGATTCCACCAGGATAGTTAGTGGTAGTTGTGGCAGTTCAGTCACAAACATTCTATGTTCAAGCAAGAAAGATATTTTCCTATACTATACAGAAACATGTCTATCACTAGCAGTTCTGACGAAGAAGAAGTCGAAATCATATTGGCCGCATTATTGAATGTAGAAGAAAATGGTCACAAAAAAAAAGGATGTGCGTCCATACCATTAATGAAAGAAGGGCAAATCTGAAACAGTTCCATAATCTTTTCAACGACCTGAAAGAAGACGAGGAGAACTTTTTTCAGTATTTACAAATGACTCTAGGCGAATTTTCAGAACTTCTGGATATTCTAAAGCAAGCGCTGGCCGGCGACACGCTTACTTAGCCAGTCCGTCACAGCACGTACCGTTATGTGCCGGACAGGATCGGAAAGCTGAGATCCTTTCCGGCGGCGGACGCTCTTGGCTGGGCCGTGCCGGGTGGTTGTCCATTCATTTTCATTGTTCCAATCTTATCCGTATTTCGACGAGACGGGCCGTGCTGTGCTGTGCCAGACAAGTAGACGACAAGCTTCAAAGCAATATTCAGTCCAACAAAAACTATCAGACAAAATCTAAGGACAGCCAAAGACCCCAGAGAACCTTGAGCATCATCTACCGGATTCCTTGTAGCTGCAGGTCGGCCTATTCAGCTGTAGCCGAACATTCTCTCGATAAAAAGACCCTCACATTATCCCATTTGATGATACAGTGATACTTTATGGAACCCAAAATAGAACTTCAAAAACACAGGGCGCCACCAATAATAATATAAAACCGGAGTTGAATACTAGCATTGTAGTTTCTGCGTTATGATCAACTGGAACAACAACTCGAGGAACAACTCAGACACTACGACCGTAACCTCACCGCCTTTGATAATATTAACCGCAGTAGTAGACAAAACACCAGGCACAAAAACCTGCAGATCACGGCCAAAAAATCCGGAAAATTACTTTGACACAGTTATCACATTCTTCCATTTCAATGATATCAGATAGTCATTTTCAAGATAGAGTTACTTCTTCAAGAAATAAATAAATAAACGGGGTTGAAAATTTCACATTTGATTTTGGTTCAGAATCATTACCTTTAATTTCCGAAAGAATATGACAGAAAAAACTATATATATCCGGACTGAAAACAAACTGTATCCTTACCCAAAAACCACTTCAGAACCGGAGGCGGATTCCCATAGTGAGAGACGCACTTTATTACTGCCACTTCTCCGTGAAGGGTCGTGAGGTTATGTCCTGGCAATACTTGGGTGCCATTGTATTCTATACGGGGCCTCTGGGGAGGAACTGGAATGAAAACAAATAATTAGTTACTGGTTAGGTCGAGTTGCGGGCTTTCTGGAGATATATTTTGTGAGAAGTGGTTGTTTAGAATTACATTTTCATCTCGGGCGGCCTGTTTATCCCTTTTGTGATGTTACCGACATGAGGTTGTGTAGCGTGTCAAGGATATTCAGTGTCATAATAGCGGGATTCGTGAGGATGTGACGGAATAACACTATTAGTGTTAATAACGAGAAATCTTCAAGCCTGGGGTCGGGTTATTACAATATGCAGATGGATTCAATTGGAATTGTTCGTCAACTAAATAGGAATTAGATGACACCAAGCTATGTCACTTATTCACCCCGAATGAAGGTATGATAGTCGAGTTAAAATTTGGAGATAACCCTGAAAATCCCTGAAATATCAACATGTCACTTCCGTGAAAAAAAAATCGATATTATGATGTGATAAAACATTTGTGAAATATATCGTTTCAAAGGCCTCTTAGTTTCACCGATGTATGATTCTCCGCACTCGCAGGGTATGGTAAGTAGGGGTTAACTGGACACATTGAACAAAATATGCGAAAATATCCCATTTAAATTTCTGCAAATTTTTGTTTATATGTCCATATGTAACACAACACAACAAAGTTTTTGTTTCGGGGTTGAAATCAGATGATTTTAATGTATTTCCACGTGTTAAAACCGAAAGTGACCATAAAAATTATATATTAGCTCTTGTTTTCAAGATATNGAACACCAAGGGTAGGTTAAGTGGTCACAAGTGAAAAAAAAGGTAGAAAACCAAATGAAAAATAAATACGAATTGAATTATTTTATTTCAATACATGAATATTCCAAAATAACAGAACAGACATATTTGTTTTCAATATTAATGAAGAGTCAAGTCAAATTCAGCCAAATCAATATTAAAGGTCCAGGTATTGGCATATCTTGCTGTAATGTTTTTTACTGGTGATGGTAATATATGAACAACATCCTTCTTTGGAACATAATTGTGTTCTTCAGTTTCGTAAAATTTATGTGTTGCATTGTGTCGTTTGGAAAAAACCATTTCATACCCATCTGGGCTTTCTTCAATGATTTTTGCAATATAGTGTCGCAATGTTGACATTGTTTTTCCATATATAATAACAATACAACAATCAGATGATTCGTCAAATTTTATGATTTCCTCATCAGATGATGAACTAGATTCCAAGACTCCTTTCTTGATGTTGTTTCGTTTTATCGTAGCTGAGGCACGTTTTTTCTTTATGTCTTCGCGAATTCGCGCTTCCTCTTCCAGTTCTTTTTTAACGGGAGTATCAGTTGAAATCATTGATCATCTTTTTCTGCATGCAGATGTGTTTGTTTTCCGTGGTGCAGCTTTGGGATAAGGGCGTATTTCTTCGGGGGTAATACATTTTGATGGTCCAGCCTCGCAGTTTTGAAGCAAATTAAGATGAAAATACTGTTGATCTTTCGGTGCAATTTTTCTCTTGCACCGGGTCTGAATTTTGAGGCTGATTTACTGGATCCAATCTATCAGTAACATAAGAAGATGCACAGTCAATATCAGAAAATATCTGATCATCAAACGGTTCTATACCAGTGGCTTTAAAATCACTACAAATGTTTTTTTGGCGTGAACGCTTGAGGAAACGCTTCTCCAACTGAACCTGCTGCATCATGTGTGGTGATAGGCCTATCAGGATGATTCACCATCCATTTATCACAAGCAGAGTTATAAAATTTCTTGAAAGGTCCAAAAACACTGATGTCTAAAGGTTGTATTTTATGGCTGCAATGGGGAGATAGCGTTAACATTAGAATGCCGTTTTCTTTGGCAAAATCGAGTGCCACAATGCTTAAGTGACTCTCGTGATTATCTAGGTGAATAAGTTTGGGTTTCTCTCTAGTAGGCCTCTCATGTTCTGCAAAATGTTGTAAAAGTGGTAAAAACAACGAGCTATTCATCCAGCCTGTAGGTGTTGCAACACCTTTGCTTCCTGGAAGGGCACCATGTAGCATGTGTTCCTTTAAATGAACCCGTGGAAAAATGAGGAATGGAGGAACGAATTTTCCAGTAGCTCCAATAATACCCACCAGAGTAACTAGAGTTCCTCGCTCCGCTGAAGTTACTTGGCCGAAATTCTTGTTACCCTTCTTGGTTAATATCTTTGGAGGTTTATGAACAGTAGTAGCAGCTGTCTCCTCTAGATTATAAATATCGTGTGCTTTCAAGTTATATTCAGTTCTAAGCTCTCGCAAATTTTTAAAAAAAGCTTCAATATTCGTTTTATTAAAACTAGTTGCCCTGCTCGAACTGATTTGTTCAGGAGTTGCTAATGGGAGCTTGTACCTTTGACGAAATCCAAACAGCCATTCTTTACCAGCCATGCTCTTTTTCGACCAACTTTCAGCAAAACGCTTATTGTTTGCCACTGCGAACTCATAAGCCAGAATACGAACTTGTTTACTACTCAAACCGTGGTGAATGTCAGAGGCACGTAAAATGTAATCTCTAAGCATGATTTCTTCTGCATGTGTAAAAACTAATAAATGTTCATTTTTCGACCGAAAGTTTACTGAATTCAAAACAGCATTTCTGCTTTTATCAACAAATCGTTTTAAAGTTACTCGTAGTATTTCAAATCGAGTCGAAGCGCTTCTCACAGAACACCTTTCTTCTAAAACGACTCTAAGAGCGTGTTTTAGCTGTTCTTCCGAGTAAGACCTGTGATTAGTAGTGCGCTTTCTAATTCGTGGCAGTATGCATGAATTCTTCTGAGAAGAAGAACAATCAAAGGTATAGGGTCCGAGTAAAGTAAGTGTAAGTTAACTGGACATGGTTCACATAACCCCACATTAGTACTGTTCAGTTAACCTCACATATTGTTACTTCGCTAAATGCAAAAATTAACATCTCTATTTCAGTTAGAAAAAACAACTACACATACAAAAGAATAGTAGATACTTACGTCTTTAGGTTGCCCAAAAAATAATCCTATAAAATATAAAGATTGTGGCGATAAAACGATAGTAGATACTTACGTCTTTAGGTTGTCCAAAAAATAATCCTATAAAATATAAAGATTGTGGCGATAAAACGAAAACAACTCGAAATTCGGATTTCACTATGTCAGCCCAAAAAAACCCAACTTGAAATGAGCTTCCCAATGACAGTTTTATAAGAATATTTTCATAGTAAGAAGAAGGGACCTGTATACTTGATCAAATAGTAAGAAAGTAAATTCTGCTATCTGTTAGGAGATGGTAATATTGTGAGTTGTTCAGTTAACCTGTATGTCCAGTTATCCCCACTTTACCCTATCCGGTAAATGCAAATCTTGGAATCGCAGTTCGCGTTTGGTGGCCTGGTTTTCGTAAGGCTGCTACGGATGATGTTGCCAGATCTGAAGCAGGTCCTGATGTTATACTTGGACCCAATCCTTCTTATCCTTTCCGATAATCCTCTGATGTAGGGAAGTACAAGTACTAGTTGTGGCGGCTTCTCTTCCTTGTGTTCTTGCTGTATTCTAACTAAGGACTATTCTACCATCACTCTGAAGTAACCATTCCGTTGAAGGTCATTTTTGATGATGCCTAGTTCATTTTCGAAACCTTCCTTTGTATTACAGAGCCCAAAAGCACGGTCTGGTAAAGTCTTGATGATTCTTCTCTCAGTCGATTGATGGTGGTTGGATTTCTGGTTCAGATACTGTTCTGTGTGAGTGGGTTTTCGATATACAGATATTTCCCATTTAGTGTCGGTCCTCTTCACCAACAAGTCTAAGAAACGCAATTCATTGTGGACTTCCTTGCCCCTTGTGAAAATGATGGAAAGACTTACATTGTTGAGGTGCTTCAGGAAAGTGTCTAGTTCTGCATTCCTATGGTTCCATATCATGAAGGTGTCGTCTACGTATCTCAACCAGACTTGGGGCTTCTTGTGGGCCTCTTCAATGGCCAGAGTTTCAAACTACTCCATATATATATTGGCTATAGCAGGTAAAAGTGGCGATCCCATTGGCAGTCCCTCATCTTCAGGTCCCCATCTCCGGTTAGCTTCTTCTGTATGATTTGAAGTGCTTTTTCGACAGGATAATTGGTGTAGAGGCTTTCCACGTCAAAACTGATCAGTAGATCCTGCTCTTTGACTTCGATTTACCCCAGTAGTTTAACAAAATGCCTTGAATTTTTCACAGCACCACAGTACTTGCAGTGATTTGATCATTGGTAGTTAAAATCTGGACAAGTTCTCAATGATTGAATTTCTGGAGCTAATTATCGGTCTGAGCGGAACATCCTTTTTGTGGATTTTGGGTAGTCCATACAAGTGAGGGGGCTTACTGTGGTGCGGTGTTAGCAAAGATCTCTCTTTTTATGAACTGTTGAAATATCTATAAAGTTCAAATAATTGAGTAATTTTTCAGTTCGCGGAAGGTGAAACTCGTAATTAAGAAGGCCATATGAAAAACTGTAAAATCATCCATTGAGACAATACTGAACAACAAGTGGTATGAACTTCACCCAGAGTTGGGAGTGCATTCTTTGAATTCAAGACAGTGGAGCGTAACGAAGGAGTTTCCCTTAATGAGAAAATGAATGTAAATTTCCTGGAGCAACAATAAAGTCCTAATCCCTTCAAATCTCATCACCGTCATTACAAAATGAGAATGAGACGAACGATCGTGAGGGAAAGACGTGGAGCCAAACTACGTGAATTAATTAACCAAATTAAAAACGATGATGGCAGCTCGGAGCAAAAACAAAAGCGTGAGGAGAATAGACTATTGTCTAATGGGCAGAATAGCTTAGTGTATTCAGCTAGCCCGGTCATATACGTGCCTGTGACCCCGCTTTGTTTTTTGTGGAGCCGCAAGAAGTGGACGAAAATTAGTCAATGGAAAGGACCTAAAAAGTACTCAGTCTCGTACGTGTTATTAGGGTGGATAAGGGCATTAGATATTTGTTAATTTATTATCTCTCAACAATGAAGCCGAACATTGTTGGTCAACGAAAATGAAACGAAACCGACCAGTTGATTTCTATTTCAGGGTAAAAATCTTTTGCTGATATTTGCAATATTTCCACTTCCATTCCTTTGATGTTGTACAAACCAACCAAATATAACCTACTCTGAAACTAACAAGTTTCCAACCCAACGGTGTCGGAACTATATTGCCTCCCAAAAATCCACAAACCGGGAAAATCAATGCGCCCCATCGTGTCAGCTATTGGAGCTCCTACCTACCAAACAGCAAAGTGGCTCACTGAGGAATTAGAAACCTTGTTAAATGCGCAACTAGGTTTTAGTATGAAAAAACTCTTTAGAGTTCATACAACATACAAAAAACATCATTCTGCAAGAAGGTGAGATTTTGGTTTCTTTTGTTAGTTTCTTAATTCCTAGCGTCCCAATTCCACAGACCTTGCAATACAGGGAATTACCAGAGAAAATAATTTCAATAATAACGAAATCGATGAATTCGTTTCTCGTACTTATTCGTGTATGAAACAAAATCGGTTCCAGGTAGAAGGTTGTTTTTATGAACAACAGGAAGGAACGCCTAAGTGTAACCCCTTGTCTCCCAACCTGGCAGACCCGTTCATGAGCTGATTCGAAATGGAAACCAAAGGAAAGTCAAAGTATTTTCCTAGGATATGGCTAAGGTATGTGGATATTATATTTTCGCGATATTCGATACAGAAAAATCTAATATTGAGGACTTTGTTTCTTTTTTAAATATTAGATGTCCATCAATAAAATTCACGTATGAGTTTGAAAATAAAGGAAAACTTCCATTTCTTGACGTTTTGGTAATGAGGGACCAATATGGAGGGTTAGAATACGATATATTCAGAAGAGAAAGAAGCACGTACAGGTATATTCCTGACAGTTCACATCACTGTGGACAGCACAAACGTGCTAGGTTGAATTTTTTAGTGCATCGTCTTTTGACTTTCCCTCTAACACATGAGAGGTTCACAAAACAAAAACGTACAATATAGGAAATAGCAGCCACTAACGGTTTCTTGAGGGGTATTGTGGATGTCATAATAAAGAAGAAGAAGTCTCAGTTAAGAATGAACGAAATCTCGACTTTCAGAAAGGACAAAATCCAGGATAAATGTATCTCAGTTCCATACCACCAATACACGAAGAAATTTGGGAAGATTTTCAAGGAAGTAGATATGCAGGTGGTTTTTAAAACATGTCATACACTACAGAGCCTTTTGGGAAGTCCAAAAGACAAAGTCGAGAATTCGTCTGGAATTTACGAAATTGAATGTAAGGACTGCGATGCAAAATATTAAGGACAGACAAAATTATCTATTAAATTAAGATATAAGTAACACATAGCATACTTAAAATATGGGAGACTTGAAAAATCAGCACAGTCGCTCATCATATTTTGCAGTAAAACCATTCCATAGACTTCAGTTCATTAAGATTAGTTAGACAAGTTAAAAACAACAGGCAACTAGATGCCTATGAGTCAAGAAATAAGTAAACATAATATCGAACACGTCGATTTTTCAATTCCATCCAAAGTTTCTTCTCTTGTAAAATAATCTAAGCATTGCCACAAACTCAATTGGTCGGTTCTTTGTGGTATGGAGAGAGACAAATCCCAGAAAGGATCAAATGTTACTGAAGAGTATCCACAGTGTGTGCATTTCATCGTGGATTTCAATTGGCCAACGAAATTATCTACAATCTTAATAATTAATAGATAAGGCAAATTGTAAAATCAATTTGAGACACCAAAGATGTGGTATATCTGTAAGGTATACTTGTATGGTACTCCTGTATAGATAAAAAGGGTTAGCCTTGAAATTTTTTCCAGTTTATTCTTCCTCTTGAACATGATCACTTGGTTATCGAAACACGTGTCGAGGTGTTGAAAATAACGATTTGGTGTTGGGAAAAAACTCCAGTAATATCCGACTCCTGATAGTTAGCCTGCAGAAAATTGCTCGAACCAGTTGTTTTTCAATTTGAGTAAAAAAATATCCCAGTGATATTTGCAATATTTCAACTTCTATTCCTTTGGAGTGAATATTGGAGTGAATATTGAAATTTATTTTGATGGAGTGAATATCGAAAAATAATGTTATGTGTATTCGACCAAATGACTCTTCCGTAGTTTCGAAATTTATCTCAGTACAACAAATTCACTGCAAAATTTTGGAATGCTCAATTGGGATCCACAATTGTTTAGAGATGCACTATCAAATGAAAAAGATATTGATGTAGGTGTTCCCCAAGGTAACATTCTGGGCCCACTTCTTTTTGTTTTATATTTGAACGATTTTGAACTTTTTGTTGAATCTGAGTTCATAAACCTATTTGCTGATGATACGTTGCTTATGTGTAGCGATATGAATTTAGATGAAGCTATTCATAAAATGGACAGGATTATAGAAATGGTTAATGAGTATTTATGCACTAACCAATTGAAGTCAAACATAATATAGACAAAAGCAATGATATTTACCACGAAATATAAATACAGTTCTCTAGA